CGCATGACATCAGGCGGTACCCGGAAGAATCAAATGGGCAGTGACGTATCTCCAACGAGGCGTTTTGGGGAGGTATTTTCTGTGTTAGAGTTTTACTCGCTACAGGGTGTACTTTCAGGGTTTTGACTCTGCACACCGTTTACATGCATAAAAACCTTCATAACACACAAGGGGACGGGTAATAACCGGAAAAGCATGACATGGGAGCCAGAGTTCCCGTTAGAATATTTTTTTGCCGGTCAACATGTCCGTTAAAGTTGAAATCTTCCGGACAAAATTAGATAAGTGCCGGTTAAAGGTCTTCTTTGTTATTTATTGAGCTTTAAAACAAATTGATATGATTCGACATTAAACAAACTAATTATAGTAGATTAACTACATTATTCAAAAGTGTACAGTAATTTACAAAAACGCGGGAATAATAAACGGAGCGCTCTCTCCTTCTCCTGACAGCCCGTCAGTATCATGCAGCTCGCGGATCCAGTAATGAGTGACCCGACAGTAAAACTAAACATATCTATAACTAGTTTAGGTAGTTTGAGAGGTAATTAAAATAGCTACGTGTGATTTTCTAACCTGAAGTGTGTTTTGCTCTGCTCGCCGCTGCAGGGGATCATGCAGAGCTGCGTGTCGACTCGTCAGCAGCAGCCGATCTCTCTCTCCTGTCAGATTAGACTTTACTCGCATTTATGTCCATATCGATCAGATCTAGCTAGTTCTAGCTAATGATATGACTACCTGCTTGTTAAAAGACACCTAAACAATAAGCGTCGCTATGCAACCGGATGAGGCCACAAAGTATAGCGCAGCATTATGCATTTGTTTACATGCCCACCGGAACCCCGAGGCATTACCAACAGATCAACGCACAATCAACCCATACAGGACATCTCTTTCTCCACATTAAGTGTTAGACATTAGAATTGACAATTTTTGTCTGTCACATACTCTTTTGTCTGTCACATACTATTCTTGTCTGTCACATAAGTGGCGCAACTGATGCGGTATTGCGCTAAGGGAAAATTATTTTGACCGGACATTTTGACCGGAGAGATTTAGATTTGCCGGACTTCAGCATATTTTACCGGTCATTGTCCGGTAATTACCGGCTAACGGGAACTCTGATGGGAGCTTTAACAAAGTTCCGCTATACATTAGTACCAGACATACTGTACATCCAGCTTACTGTATCGAATGAGCTCCAGTGTGGAACCCCACTGCACCCCCTGGTGGATTAATGATCCATTGCAGCTGGCTTCACAATAATTACATTTATTTATCACGGGGGCGGTATCAAGTCAGACTGGGGGCCGGCTCTTCATCACGAACCGATCACGGGCCGATCACGGACCGTGCACGAGCCAATCACGACCCTCGCGTTTCAAACTGTCCAAAATAAGACGCTCCATCTGTAGTTGGCTAAAACCTCTGAATCGAGGTTGTGCTTTTTAAGAAGCGGTTTTATCACTGCTACTTTGAATGATTGTGGAACATAGCCTGATAATAAAGACATATTCATAATATTTAATAAAGAAGTGTTAATTAATGGAAAAACGTCCTTTAACCTCTTAACCTCTTAAGCACGACGGTCCCCCCATTGGACCCCTCCCACCGTTTGTTTTTCGAGACTGTGTCTCAGGGCTTCTTAACATTTATGAAACTATTAATGTGTAGCACCAGATTAACGGGAAGAATCTCAGCTAACTGAAGATATGAACCATTTTTACCAAAACAAAACACAAGTCTCATAAGAAGCGTCTAAATGACCCCTGAGCGAAAAAATGCAAACTGACTTTGGCACACAATTCAAGATAAAAATACCCTTATTACTTATCGTAGCTGCACATACAATATAGCCGATTAAAGCTGAGACTCCACTGATTATTTAGGTATAGTATCATCACTGAGCGATCCGAACTTGTGACAGGGGAAGCAAACACAGACATCACAACACGTACCTTTACGGAGCTTTTACGGCAGATCGTCTCACCGTAGCTGTCAATTAGGTCAAAAGACGTGTTCAATGGCATTAAAACGAAAAAAAAAAAATGCTACAACTGTTGATCCATAGGTTGATAATGTACCTGTGCCTTTGGAGAAATTATTTATAATCCATAATTCCATTGTTTATGTAAAAATCGGAGCGGAAAAGTTAGCTGCTAATGGTAGCCACCAGAGTGTATGCAGCTTCCGGTTTTGGTAACGCGTCACTCTCACTCCTTATTTGTTAACGTTTTGGTGTGTATATAACTTTCCCTCGATTCCATTGGCTCTAGCGGTTATAAAGAGATTTCATTCATCAAAATCGAGCAAGGGGGACCAGAGATAGGTCAAATCCACCCAAATGACCCCAGAAGTGGGGGTTTTTGGCTAAATCTCTTTAAAAAGGTCAAATTTCACTTGTTTTGCATCAATCTTGATACAGGGTACTTATTATATGTTGTACTTTGGATTCCTAAAGCTTTTAGTCTACTAACCCATCATCCAAGGGTAGTTTTCACTATAAGTAAAAAATTATTTTTGGACGGACACTATAATTTAGTTTTTTACTATGTAAAATCTGAATTTTCTTTAAAATAAAAAACATCTATATTGATTCTGACTTTTCTACATCCAACTCACAGGTTTATCATTACTTTGAGAATAAAGATTATTAAGTTAACCCTTTTAGAAGGGAAGATATGGTCATTTGTTCTGGGAATGTCATTTTCGAGCCTGAGACCTGAAAAACAGGCTCAGTGCTTAACAGGTTAAAGCAAAGTTGTGTTATTTAATAGTAAGTATTAATATAAGTCAATAAAAGTCAAAAAGCATTTAACAGAGTTAATCTATTTCAGCCGAAAGGACAGAGTCCTGCACCAAGAAGCCAGCACCAGACCTCTCTCATCCAAAGCAAATACCAATACTTTATACCAGGGGTCAGCAACCCCTGGCACGCGTGCCACCGTAACCAGTGGCACACTAGGAATAAGTGGAATAAGTGTGCAAAATATTTAAATTACATTTTTCGGATCCTGAACGAGACCGCCGCCAGAGCGCGTCTCCCCGTTACCTGCAGAAGGAAGCCATGCACGCAGCGCAGCCCCGCTCTCTTTAACTCCAGGCGACTTTCTGCCGCTTTCCTCCGTTGTGCAGTGCTGATCGTTTCACCACAGAGGAAAGCACTTCACAAATTGCAGTACCCATAAGGAGCTGTAAAAATGCCGCAGTTTTTGCGTGGCGATCGATATCGGCCGATACTCACTCTCTGCCGATCGATCGGTGCTCTCTAAAAAGGCCGATCGCGAGACGTAAAATACATGACACTTTTCGCTGTGTGCGGCAAAACAAGCTCGCCAAAATGGCTTCACCAGTCTGGCAGTATTTTAAGGTGTCCGAAAATGACAATAAAATAGCGGTATGCAACGTGTGTGTGAAGCAGAAATCCTGCAGCTCCACCCGCTGTGACGGGCCGGTGAGCGGAGCAAAACACACAAGAGTTAGACCTAACACACTTAGCTATTTTATCTACCTCTGGAACTAGTTATAAATATATTTATTCTTCACTGTCGGGTCGCTCATTACTGGATCAGTGAGCTGCATGAGATACTGACAGGCTGTCAGGAGAGAGAGAGAGGGGGAGAGAGGAAAAGAGAGCGCTTCCGCTCATTTCTCCCGTGTTATTATCCAAAGTTAATGTAAACTTGAATAATGTACTTCATTTGAATGTAACAATTATGTTGGTTGTTTGTGGAAGCGCCAGTGAATGAGCCCCATTAACTGAGTTTTAAACATTTCTTTAAATGGAAGATCCCCATAGGACCCGCCCACTCGATCGGATCGGCGATCGGAGCACCCCTAAAGTTGAGCTGACAGGTCCACACACTGCTTCCCCGCAGCGAGGCTCCCCCGCCCCCCCCCGTTGATAATTCACGATCGTCGGCACGCTGATAACATTTTTTTTTTTTAATGGCACTTCATATCAAAAAGGTTGCCGACCCCTGCTTTATACACTCCAGCAGGAGGGAAGGGGAAGGTCTTCAGCAAGCAAATTTACATTACAAGAAGTTTGTTGACCAGACGGTTGAAACTTACATACATGTTAATTACAAACCAATGGTTGTAGAGACAGACTTTGGTTTGTTCTAAGGAAGATGAAATTAGAGGCTAGATGTGAATTCAATCAGTGGGAAATAAACAGATAATTAAGTTACAGTAATACTTATGATTAAATTAGACTTAATGATAAATTACTACAACAGATTTAGTCACCTTCATCCTGTTTCTATTTAGTCAAGTTTTATTCGACTAAAAGTATGAGCATTTACTTTTCCTGCATTGTTGATTTATATCTTTTTGCCTAGTCCTTATTTTTTATTTAAATGTAATGAGATTTTTCTTTAGATTATGGAAATATAGAGAATACAAATAAACATGTAGTAATAGTATGAATCATAAAAACCAAAAATGACACAAGATAAACTCTGAACTTTAACAGGTGAAAGTACATATATAGAGTAAAGGTTGAATATATATACATTATATAAATGGTAAATGGACTGTACTTATAAAGCGCTTCATCCAGTCTCTACGACCCCTCAAAGCGCTTTACATACTACATGTCATTCACCCATTCATACAGAGCAGTGTACCTTACTCTAGGAACTAACATTCACACACATTCGGCCCTCGGGAGCAACTCAGGGTTAAGTATCTTGCCCAAGGACACATCGACATGTTGGCTGCACGGGCTGGAATCGAACCCACAACCTTCTGGTTGAAAGACGACCGCACTCCCTCACAGCCACAGTCGCCCCCATATAAGCTTCATAAAACACATGTATCTGGTTTCTATGTGTTATCAGTGGGCAGATTGGACATGCTGATGAAAGCAGAGTGAAGTCAACACACTGGGATAATAACACGTTTTCATTTATGTTTAATTATAAGAAATACCACAAGAAAGAAGAAGAACTGTAGGAATAAAATAACTTCTGTCTTTATTTCTTCTCCTTTTATAGGGAGGACCTCTGGTCCCGTGAACCTGATCCTTTCATCCTCAGGTATTCACTTCTCCTGATTGTTATCAGGGAAACCTGAATGAGTTGTTTTTCTACTTTATTAAACAGGAATACTTTTACATTCAATTTTGACTTTCAAAAAGAAGATTTGGTCTTTAAAAAAACAAGAATTAGGAAATGGAATATAACAAGTAATTTATTAATCAACTTGTAATTCCCTCTTTAAATAATCCAAGTCCAGTTCACATTCAAAGGCTGGATTTTAATCTGTATATTTTGGTGCTGTTTCATTGATTTATTGATCAAATAAATAAAGAATGTTCACAATTAAAAACCAGTAATAGAAGAATATGCAATGAGAGGCCAAACACCTAAAAGGCTCATTGAGGGTCTCTTTAAGTACAAATATATAAGCTCCTAACATTTCTCCCTGTCCGTCCACGCTGATCTAAATTCAGTCTTGAGGAGGAAAGAGCAGTTGCTCCTGCATCGAGCTGTGAGTCCATCAAGAGTGACCGCTCCATGACCCCCCCTCTTTCTTTCAAAGGGTAAGATGCAGTTTCTGAATCTTTCCAGTATTCATTTCCTTCAGAGTATATCAGTTTTATTTAACACTGACATATCTGCAGTGCTGATAACAATGTGTGCCTCGTCCATATATCTAACTTCAATGTGTCTCTGTCTTTCAAACGGCATGATTTACCTTAAAGGTAGGTCAGCCATTTTCTATAGATGATGGAGATCAGACACATTTAGACCAGGTTTTCTCCTCCTCCTCCTCCTTCTCCTATTTAGTTTTTCTTTAGTAGTTTTTCCGTTACATTGGAGTATGACAGGTGAGCACTCCCCTGACTGCACGTCGCTGAAGTCAGGGTAGCAAATCCCACGGTGTGTGTGTGTGTGTGTGTGTGTGTGTGTGTGTGTGTGTGTGTGTGTGTGTGTGTGTGTGTGTGTGTGTGTGTGTGTGTGTGTGTGTGTGTGTGTGTGTGTGTGTGTGTGTGTGTGTGTTGGATCGTTGGAGCTATGTGCAGCTCAAGGCATATATGCTCGAACGGGAGCTGCCTGGACGCTGCAATCATGTTGCGCGCACTATCCGTGCTGAGTGTGCTGTCTGGCTACCTGCATAAAGTCAAGTGCTCGGCGCAGCTGTCGGCGAAATGTCGCTCCTCTGTTTTCATTGAAACAGCTCCTTATATCCGTTAGCTCAGCTAGCTAGCACCAGATGCTAACAACAACAACAACACGTAAGGTGTGCCTCGCTCGCGCCACACATACACACACCCTCCCGGTCCTCCCGATGGCCAGTCTGGGCCTGCCGGTGAGCGTGGAAGTGTGGTCTGCCACAAGCGGGCGGCAGGAGCGGGGCTGTCAGCATCAGCTTGTAGATGGTATTTTAAACTCGATGCGCTCTGAAACTACGGGGCGGCCGAGGACAAAAAATACACATGCGTTAATCGCGTTAAAATAATTAGTGGCGTTAATTTTTTTTTGCGTTAACTTGACAGCCCTAATTTTTATATATCTGAGACCCATAATATATGCCTAAAAATAGCATAATAGGAGACCTTTAATACACAGCCTGTTGTTGCGTCGGGGACCTGTATTAATCTCTGACTACTAATCAGACCTACTGATTGACCTATCAGAAGCTATTGAGTCTATGCAAGTTTACCGCCAGGCTCAGATCCACCTCTGAAAGGTCTTACCTCTACTAACTTCTGGAGAACCAGGTTCAATTAACTGCTGTTTTAAAGCAGACAACATAATACATCAGTTTAACCCTTAGATGCACGAGTGATTAGACCCTACACTCTCACATAAGTGGGTCAAAAATGACCCATATAAGAAGCACATGTTTTTATGCCATTTATGTCACTTTGGTTAAGAATAGTCACTTGAATAATATCGTATTTTGGTCCACACAAGAATGATTTCATGTTTTATTTTTTTTTATTTTTCACTGTTTATCTTTTTGAAAAATGTGTTATGAAAAAGGTTTTTACCTTTCTCATAACAATGTGACAATTATTTCCCTCCGGTATAAACTTTTAAGGTGTATTTCTTAATTCACTTGTTAAAAAGTAAAAAGCTTTAGCATGTTATTTAATTTTGACCCACCAGTAAAACTTTAAAGGTATAGTCATTACGTCACCGGTTAAAAAATGCCCTCTGGTATGAACTTTAAAGTATATTCTTAAGTCACCAGTTTAAAATTAGTTCCAGCTGTTAATTACATTTTCTCTCCGATCATTCTTTTGAGGTAAATTCCTCAGGCCAGCAGTACATTTCTACTCCTGTGTCTCACTAAAGGCTGACTTTATATCTTTCCATTAGAAGCAGAAGCAAATACAGATGGAGCCTCTTATTTTGGACCCCAGCATACAGCTTCCTGCCGACTGCCAGCCAGTTGCCAGCCAGTTGCCTGCCAAAGACCAGTATTCAGGAATGTTAGGCCCTCCCACTATTCTCCAATTTCAGGGTTTAACCAGGAGATGGCGCTATATATTAAATAACTAAGACTTAGTTTTTCACAATAGAAAATGCAGATATTATATAAAAAACTAAAGTTAAAATCTTGTTTTTAATGCCCCAAGAGCAATAACATCTTGTCACAAGCTTTTTGGAAGAAAAAGACTGACTCAAGAGACCTGTAGTTGACTAATTACAGGCCTCAATAAAGTTCTGCCATTGGTTGTGAAAAACAACGGTGGACATAGTGGAAAGTGAAATTGACATTGTCGAATTTAATAAAAATACAAAATAATGTATCTGTGTACGTGTTTTACTATGTGATCTGCACTTATCAAACATCTAATTAAGGCGAGACACCCCAGGTGAATAGGGTATTTTTAACTTAAAGATATCAGCTAAATATTTCTCCAGTTAATTACTTACAATAAGGCAATTGTTTTTTGTATTACAAGTTTTCTGAAATAGCATGTTTAAATATCCAAATGAACCATTATCTCATGAAATATGCGCATATTTTAACACATTTCAGGAACCGAAATCTGAACTTTGGATAAAGCCAGGATCAAAATTATTGTTTCATTTTGTAGTCATATTAGTATCTAAGGCTTTTACAGAAGGGATTTTGGATATCTCTTTGTATCACTCCATAAATCAGAAAATACTGTCAACAGCCCTAAAATATCAATTTTCACCATGTTTTTAGGTATAAAATGTTATATAATTCAGGCTATGAATTATATATGACCAAACCCTTCTGTAAAAGCCTTCATAATATTGTTAGGAATATAACTGGAAGGTTTGGTGTATGTAACTGCTGAGTGATTCTACAATTTAGGGTACATTCCATGTCCATTGATGTCCATTGATGATAATTATAATTATTCTAACTATTTTCTTCAAAAATATCATATTTTGCCTATTATTGGAAAGCATGTTATAATATCACACAAACATTATGTGCATCCTATGCTTTATTTAGCTTGAAATGTGTCATGATGTTCTTAAATTGTCAGTTTTTGCTATGTCCGTTTTTCAGTTGAGGGTGTCTTGGATTCAAAATAATGAATAAAAACCATTAAAGTAAATTTAAAAATGATTCATTTATTTCAAAAGTCTAAATACTAAAGAATAATAACATATTTTTAATTCATTTCCCCCTTTAAATAATTTAAATATCTTAATATATGAATGTCCGCAAAAGTTCTGTCAACTATGTTACTAACAGAACTTCCCCCTTTAACTCAAAAATTGTTTGTCCCAATACCATGTCACCAGCATCACATGATGCCATGTTCCTCTTTGGCAGACATTTTGAACACACTGTGGTGATTGTCCTCTACATTTTTACAATATTTTATGTATAATAGCACATGGTCAATTAATATACTCATTGACAATCAACAATGTTACGTACATTGTTATGGTTTACAATTGTTTAATGATTTTAATTCAATTATATGTGCAAATGTGATGTTAACCTGTTCAAGAAAATGACATGTGGTCATCCAGGCAAGGCCTACCATTGAAATGATGGGTCAAAATAGGGAAATTGTCAACTAGGTTACCTGTCAACTGAGTTACCCAGTACTGTAATAACTGTAGTAACTTAGTTGACAGGTAACCTAGTTGACAATTTGTACGACATGTAGACGTCATTACACATCATTATCAATGGAATTTTGCACTTCTGCCTTGAAATTAACATAGTGCTGATGGTTAATAATGTGTCCAGTCAACTATGTTATTTGCGTCAAATGTTTGACTTTCATTGTCAACTATGTTGCACCTCATTTTTTCAAATTTAAAATATCTAAAATAGTGCTTCTGATATCCTTTATAGTATAATGTATATCTACACAGGTTGGAGTTTTACATGACATCTCTTAAAACTATCAAAATGACCTGTATGGTAGTTTTATAATACAAAATATCCCTAAACTTAATGACAGTGCTGAACATATCACATGAAAAAACAAAACTTTAATACAATTATTTTTTAAACTTTAAAAAATCTTTGGATATATGGTAGAATAGACTCAAGAGCCTTTCAAATGTGATTTTACTTGAAGTGCAGGACTTAATCAAATGATTGTAATGACATCAAGTTTGTCCGTAACATAGTTGACAAACTGAGTAGTGAAAACATCCTTTCCCTTAAAATAAAAAAATATATAAAAATGTTTAAGCTTTGCAACTAGTGGATATGTTACACTGAGGAATATACTAACTTGAACCACTGATTGTTCTATCTATACATTTTATTTGGCATTAGTAAATAATTATGCACATTTACAGATATTTTACATGATATGAGTGATAACACGTGTTATAAGGGCTATTTCGCACAATAGGTGTGCCTTGAGATTTTTACTTGTCCTTTGGTGTGCCTTGGGCACAAAAAGTTTGGGAACCACTGCTGTAGAGAAATGTAAACGTTCACCATCCCCCACCCGCCTACTGTATGTTGCTTTTTGACATGTAAATGAGTAACTACCCCCCTCTGAGTGAATACCTGTTGTACCTGTCCGGGGCTAAGCCCATAGGACGATGCTCTGATGTCATCACCCTCGCACATTGGTCATATGTTTACAAAAAACGATGTTAACACTTTCTCGTTCTTAATATATGCTATATTTAGGGTCGATATGTGTTGAATTTACTTTAAAATAGCAGATCACTGTGATTCACTTCTCCGCGGCTCCTCCGTGCAGAGAGGCCCCCCCCCCGTTGACAATTCACGAGCGTCTAACTCTCTCCCCCCTGTGAAGAGATATCACAGGGGGGGGTTGGGACACACACATTCCGATGGCCAATTCGTTTTAAACAAAGAGTGGGGTGGGGGCTGGTGAACGGTATGGTCAATGTTTGTAAACACTGTGACATTTTGACTTTATTTGATCATTTCAGTTAAAAACTAACGTTCATATTTCATATTACTGTTTTGCCTGGCTGGACCTGTAATTTACAGGAAAGGAGTGCACGCTACTAAAGAGACACGCTACCATGGAAACCAAACAATGGTGTTGCTGTATTGAAGTCCGAGTGGAAACAGTCATATTTGGAGCGTTATGTTAGAATGAAACAGCGAGGTCGTGACTCACAAAAAAAAAGTGTTACTTCACTAACTGTAAGCTTGTCACTCAGAGTAACCTACAGTTAACTTAACTGTTGGAAAAGAAAGATCAGAGTTAGGAGTGTGAACACACAGCTGAGAAAAAACGGTAACAACGGACTATTTTTCTTAGCGGATGCATGTAAATTTAAATCAATACATAGAACTATGTTTTAAATCAACAAAAATATTTTCTAAATCCATAAAAGCATTTTAATTAATATTGGGAGTCATGTCGTTACTTTGTTGAGAATGTGGCCATGTAATAAGCGGGATAATTTGCAGCGACTTGGTCATTATGGGGAAAAATAACACCCAGGGATCAAGATCCCTCCGCGACGCGGAGGGATCAGTAATTTTTAGTGAATTACTGAGTTTAGGCACGTTAATAACATTTTAATGAAGTTGAATACAGTATATTCATATTTGTCAGTGATTTCATGTCAATTCGGCGAACATAAACGATTAAATTAGGATTAAAAATCGAGAGCCGGCTGCTGTTCGTTACGGTAACCCAACTAGGACACTTGACACAGTGGCTTTTGGCAAAGCACACAAAAAAAACTCAAAAAACCGAGAGAGATGAGTTATTGTTATTACAACGTGACTTCACTATTATTTAACAACTATTTTTATTGGGTTCTTTTATTTGGGGTTAAGTACATTGTCAGAATAAGTGAGAAATGGATTTAACTTCTGTTAGACAGCTATCATACTGAATAAATATTTATGCAAAAATGTATGGCATTAATAATGTATATCTAATTACATTAACTGTGAATGTCTTTCATTTTATTTAAAATGAAATAAAATTACATAAAACATTTTCCATAAAAAAGTTGATTCAAGAACAAATCAGTACTTTTCTTATATGACTATTATTGCTAAATTTGAAAGGTCTTTACCAGCTTTGGAATTATATATATATATATATAGCACCTTCTGCCATCCCATCTCTACTGACATATGGATCTTAACAAAGATCCGCTATACATTAGTACCAGATATACTGTACACGGACATTTTAGTGAACCAGACCAGCTGTTTCCGCCGGGTCTTCGCTTCCCGGGCATCACGTTGTTTACAAGTGTGTTCAGATGCTAAATAAAAGTTTAGCTTGTACTTTTGATACCCCGCCTCTCGGCACCACAACATCCAGTTTACTGTATTTCACATGAGCGATGTCGAACATTGAAAAGTCCTTATAAAATCTCTGTTATTAGATCAGTACTTTTCTTATATGACTATTATTGACTTGAACACTGAGAATGTATTTATTAACTTCAGACATTTGAAATATTTGAAATCAGATGAAAACAAACTGTAACGGACCCTGCCGTGTTATCTATGATTACTATGCCTTACTGTACATTCATAATTTCAGCCGGAGGTAGGTGGTAGGCGTTGCGGAGGAGCAGATTGCGAGTGAGGTGCCTGTTCTAAACGAACTATTCCAGCTGTTATAAAGCATTAAATAAAAAGTAAGCAAGGAATACAGAATGTTTCGTTACGTAACTTTGTTGAGAATGTGGCCATGTACATGTAATACATGGGATCATTTGCAGCGACTTGGTCATTGTGGGGAAAAATAACACCCATCCTGATCGTTTCAATGAAGTTGAATACAGAATATTCATATTTGTCAGTGATTTCATGTCAATTCGGCGAACATAAACATCAATGATGATGATTAAATTAGGATTAAAAATCGGGAGAGCCGGCTCGTTCGTTTTTTCCGACTAAACAACATCTATTATTTAGAAGTTGATTTCACATGACTCCAGTGTGGAACCCCACTGCACCCCCTGGTGGATCAATGATCCATTGCAGCTGGCTTCACAATAATTAAATGTATTTATCATGGGGGCGGTATCAAGTCTGACTGGGGGCCGGCCGGCCATCACGGAACGTGCATGAACCGATCACGACCCTCGCACTTTAAACTGTCCAAAATAAGACGCTTCATCTGTACATGTCCATTTATACCCATATATGTGTGGCCAGCAGTACATTTCTACTCCTGTGTCTCACTAAAGGCTGACTTTATATCTTTCCATTAGAAGCAGAAGCAAATACATGTCCATTTATACCCATATATGTGTATAAGTCATTGTATTCCTTTGTAGTCAAAGACTGGATATGTCTGGACTAGCCTCACGTTGTACAAGTACACTTTCATGAAAGTGAAAGTGAACGCATACAGTACATTTTCCATTAAAGGTGGGGTAGGTAAGTTTGAGAAACCGGCTCGAGATACACTTTTTGTTATATTCCATGGAATGCTCTTAACATCCCGATAGCAATGAATATTACATGTTCCAGGTAAAATAGTTTGTGGCCTTTGAGTAATTAATATTCAAATATATAATTCATATATAAACATATATAATAATCATGTTTGAGAGTTCTTTGAGGATTAAGGTATACAGACACTAAACCACTTTTTTGTGAGGTGGTATTTTTGTAATTCTATGTTCAGTAGTTTGGAGCTAATATTTGTACTTTTCTACAGGAACATCTCATACAAACATGATAACACCAAATACAGAGTTGAGATCATTCCAGGATCTCCTTCTGTCTACCGGCTGAAACCAGAAGAAAAGAACATTGGCTCTATAAGAAGACTGACTCTCGGTGAAAGAGATCCAACAAAGATAAACAAAACCATCTTGCTTGTTGGTGAAACAGAAACAGGAAAATCATCTCTGATCAACGCTCTGGTTAACTACGCCCTGGGAGTGGATTTTGAGGAGGATGTCTGTTTTCAGATGGTACAGGAAGAGGAGAAGAGTCAATCAGAAACTCAGACGTCAGACGTGATCGTGTACGAGGTCTTTGGTCTTGAAGACAGAACTCTGCCCTTCTCTCTGACCATCATCGATACCCCTGGATACGGACATACCAAAGGGATTGACAAAGATGTCCTCGTCAGCGAAAGATTGTTGGACTTGTTCTGCTCAACAGATGGAGTTCATGAGATCGATGCAGTGTGTCTGGTGCTGAAAGGGAGTGACTGTCGACCGAGTGACCGACTGATGTACGTCTTTGATTCAGTGGTGTCTCTGTTTGGAAAAGACATAGAGAAGAACATCGTTGCCCTCGTCACATACTCAGATTTTTTTAGCCCTCATAATGTTCTACAAGCTCTGAAAGATGCGAAAATCATGTGTGCAAAAGACGAGGAGGGTCAGCCTGTTCATTTCATGTTTAATAACGCCCAGAAAAGAGAGAGAAATAAAAAAATAAGCTTGCTCTAAAGAATGCTTGGGAATCAACAGAGGACCAAATCAGTCAATTCGCAGATTTCCTGAAAAGAACCAAACCTCAGGACCTGAAAAAAACCGTTGAAGTGTTGAATAGACGCATCAGCCTGACAGCCTGCATCCACAACCTGCAGGAGAGAGTTCAGTTCATTGAACAGAAACAGAGAGAGATCAAACAGACTCAGGAAGGTCTGAAGAAACACGAACAAGACATGAAGAATAACAAAGACTTCACAATAGAAGTTGATGAAGTCTATAAATGTAAAGAACGTTTAAACTGGTGGTGGTGGTCGTTAAACTTTGGAGCTACCTGCTGTGAAGTCTGTAAGGAGACTTGTCACTATCCATGCCCAGTGGGCCTGGATGGATGTCAGGTCATGCAAAACAAATGCACAATATGCAACAAAGAGTGTAGTGTATCAGGCCATAAGAATGAGCTCTACTGCACAGCATGTACTGGGAAGTGTCATGTATCCAAACACGTGAAAGCAAAACAATGCACTGCATGTGAGGATGAGTGCAGTGATTCAAATCATCTGAAAACACACTGGGAATATGTGAGAAAGACCAGGAGAGTTAAGAAGGACAAACAAGAGATGAAAGAGATGTTTGAGAAGAGTGAAAAAGAAAGTGAGGAGTCAGGGAGCCTCTTGGAAACTCTCCAGAAGAAAATGACAGAGCTCCAGAAAGACAAAGATCAGTTTCTGGAAGAGTCTTTCCAACATGTTGTCAGACTGGATGAGATCGCTCTGAAGGTTGTTTCCCTGGCCACTCAGGTCCACCTGGACTTCCTGATTGAGAAGATGAGGGAGAAGGGAGAAACAGAGAAGGTCAAGAAACTGGAGGAGATGAAAAGCAAAATGGAGGAAAATCCAAGAATAAAATCAGCGCTGAGCTACTTGTCTGTATGGTAAAGCCACTAGGGATCTCCTCCAAGAGAACACAGCTGAGAAGAAAACAAGCTCTACAGTTTGATGAAAGGTATTTCATTATACCAAGTGTGATGTTGATAATGTGATTGACCTTTTTTATCTTTGTAATTCCTGGAAACAGCGTCCTGTGTGGTTTACCGTTCAATAACCAACCCTTACTTCACTGTACACATTATGGACAATTCATACTTTCCACGTGTGGGTTCCCTTTGTCCTTTGTGACCCAAAGTCTCTCCTCACAATGTCCGTGAAGTTCCGCATGCAGCCCAAACTGTAGCTAACTGTGCATGCTCCTCCAGCTGGTTACCAAGCAGAAGAAGAAGAAGAAAACAAACTGAAGGATTGTTTGGAAGAGATGTTGAATGAGGATACTCGTCGTTACCAGCATGAATATAATTGAGAGAGTTTGTGGAGCTCCAGACGAACACAGACCCTCAATTGTTGCTCTGGTTTCAAATTGAGGAAAGAGCCCCCCCTGCTGTTCAATGCTAGCTACAGCAGCTCTCTCTCTCCTCTATATACAAAGTATGGCAAATAAACCAATGCATTATTTCATGATATACATGAGTACTGTAAAAAGCACGACCAATCATTTGAGCCGGCCCGGCTAAAATAACTGGATGGCCTACCTGCCTGTCAGCCTTCCATCTGGGCACAAACTTATCTCGTGCCCTCATTGGTCATGTGCGCGTTCGTGTGTGTTGGAGGAGGGGCTCTGTAAGGAAGTGGCAGATTTTTTCCGGTTGTGTATTTTCAAATTCTACACACTCGAGCTGGTTTCTCCAAAATTACCTACCCCACCTTTAACAGGATTTACACTGAATTGATTTAATATTATATAGAAATATATTACACATTTTGAAACACTTAAAATCACAAATTATAACTTTTATAAACACTTTTATAGACAGAGTTTAACTAGAATCAACCGACCTCTCGGACCGTTAGAAAGACGTAATCTGCATGCGCACGCAGTAGTGACGTAGACCAACTGATAAACCGCCACACACACTCTCACTCACAGACACACATCAACACAAATCAACACACACACACACACACACACACACACACACACACACACACACACACACACACACACACACACACACACACACACACACACACACACACACACACACACACACACACACTGGGATTGGAACTAAGCAATAGCATTAGTTGCATGTTCTACAAATACCATTTTTACAAAAAATACTATATTCTGATGTAACCCTTTTGTACCCCTCTATAACAGATGTAATAACTTGTATTTAGTTATTTAATTACAGCACTACATGGAGCTAGTTACTCTAAATGTTTCATATTGATTCAAATAAAGAACCAAACTTGTGCTCTTATATTAAATATTCATAAACATGTATAATCTAATCTCAAATGAAACTTCAGGAGACGTAATGAAATGTCTACCCTATAGCATATTTTAAAAACATTTATTTACATGTTTTTGAAACATATCTTCAGGAGAAACAAAATCACCTACTTTGCATATTTACTACTTTTGGACCAAACACTTTCCCATAATCAGAAAACCATTACTGTTTTTGTTTTTAAGAAAACTAAATATCTGTGGAGAGGATTTCTAATTAGGGTCAACACCTGATTTGCATCTTTCTGATAACTTTGAAAGATTTGAGTGATTTGACATCAAATGTATTTATAATGTAATTATACATTCATCCAAACCCCAAGAGGCCGTATGGAGCTTTGTTCAGAAGACGATAATAGAAGAAGCTGCTGTCTTTCAGTAGACCACATCAGTCTACTTGTTTTTATTTACTCACTTGATATATGGTTACAAATGATTACACATGATAACAATGATTAAATGATAAAGAAAAACAATCTGAACTAAACTGCTGAAACTCAAGTCTCTAAATAAAACCATAAATGCTTAATATCTAAAAAGGTAAAAATGCAAAGTAACTGAATGCAAATCTTAAAAACAGGAGACTTTTCTTTCAAATCTGTCGTCACTGACACCTGTTTCATATTCAACACATTCAAGGTGTGATCATCATCATACATGGTTAAAGAAACACCACAAACATCAGCATGTTATGCAAACATGATCAAATGATGAAGAAAAAAGATGAACTCAACTGACAACAATCAAGTCTCAAAATAAAGCAACTACTGATGAACATGTAAAAAGTAATAAATGCAAACTGCTGAAATGCAACTCATAAACAAACTAAAATGGAGGCTTTTCTTTGTTCTACTTCCCAGCAGAAAGCTGCGTCTCTTTTATATGCAGTACATGTGATGAGTGTGATTTGGAAGAGACTGAGCTGCAGGTTAAACATCCTCATATGTGGAGAATACACAATAACATCAGAACAAATGATTACACATCGTCTTTTACACCAAACATAGTTTAAATATCAGTAAAAAGCCTCAAGAGCTGCAAAGTCTTTCTGCAGAACTGTCACCTAAAGATTCAAAGGCATCATTTTCTGATTCCAAAAGTATATGCCTCAGTCAATTTACTTTACATGAAAAGAACAAGTCATGAAATAATGCATTGGTTTATTTGCCATACTTTGTATATAGAGGAGAGAGAGCTGCTGTAGCTAGCATTGAACAGCAGGGGGGGCTCTTTCCTCAATTTGAAACCAGAGCAACAATTGAGGGTCTGTGTTCGTCTGGAGCTCCACAAACTCTCTCAATTGGTCTACGTCACACACACACACACACACACACACACACACACACACACACACACACACACACACACACACACACACACACACACACACACACACACACCACACCACACCAGGAGGCCTTACTGAGCTTTGTTCAGAAGTCAGACAATAATAAAATAAACTGCTGTCTTTCAGTAGACCACAACAGTCTACTTGTTTTTATTTATTTAAATCATATATACGGTTACAAATCATTAAAAAGGATAACAATGATTAAAGTGGACCTATCATGCTATATTTGAATAATATAGTGTAGGACCATACCTATATAAGGCATATTTATACTTTTTTTTTTCAAAATACCAAACAGATCATGCATTTTAGCCATGCCTCATTTTGCTCAATTTGACAATTTTTAGCTCTGGGCTGATTCAGTGAGAACAGCACCACCTACAGGCCTGGCATATGTACTACAACGTCTCCAGCGCTTTCGAACGGCAATGGCCGTGGCTGTCTCCTCCTGATTGGTCCTGACATTTCTGACATTTTCAGGATAAATTATGGCAGTTATAACCAAAGAAAGGGCAATATGTGTACTCTTGGTGGGCTGATTTGAAGATTTAGGTGATCATTTGGATTGGACAGATTGCTTATTTATTTGAAAATAATTGTCCACAGTAGAGGTTATAATGTTCATCTTGTGCTCTCTATATCCAATGGTTGCAACACTACTCATGTAGGCGCGTTCACACCAAGTACTTTGCCGTACTAAGTGCCGGCACTCAGTGCCCCAGCACTTATTACCCCAGGGCACTTAGTACAGATCGCGTTCACACCAAGTACTTTGCCGTATTTAGTGCCGGCACTCAGTGCCCCAGCACTTATGACCCCAGGGCATTTAGTACAGATCGCGTTCACACCGGAATATATTCCCTGAGGGAAGATTACGCAAATGAGCCGCTGACGTCACTTCTTCTTCTTCTGCTTTGGGTTTACTGGCAGGCCGCAAACCACTTCACGGCGTATACTGCCACCCGGAGTCCCCGGCCGGAAGTCCCCGGAGTTGGGGAAGGCTTCAGTAGAAGCTGCTGGGACTCCCAGCAGCTTCTACTGAAGCCTTCAGAGTAAATCGCCAGAACGCCGACACCTCCTCATCTCCACTGCTCCCATGTTTTGTTTTGTGTTGCCATAAGTTAGTCTCTCTGCGTTTGTGCGCTGGGCAAATGCTAATGCTAATAATGCTAATGCCAGGATAATAAAATGGCGGCTCTACAAAACATTTCAGAGTTGTACGGGGCGTGGTTTGCAATTCGCCCAGCCAATCAGAACTGGGGCACTTTTTTCCCCCAGGAAAGTACCACCTCTCAGCAGGCACTAAACATGGGGGTAAAAGTTCCCGAGATTAAGTGCTCTTTTTGGTGTGAACGCGACATAAGGGGTACTAACGGAACTAAACGCGAAAAGTATGGTGAAAAGTACTCCGGTGTGAACACGGCTATGGTAGTCAAAATCAGTACAATTATAAAGTCCCTATATAGGAGGGAGGGAGCTGTTGTACCTGACATTCAACAGCAGGGGGGGTTTCTCACTCACTTTAAAACCAGAGCAGCAATTGAGGGTCTGTGTTTGTCTGGAGTTCCACAAATGTTCAATCATCCATCCACGATCTGTGGTTACGCTGTTTCTCAGTTCAACGCCATTTCACTGTCTTGTGTTCCTTTACGGACTAATTATCTTCATGTTGGGATTGTCCTTTGACTCTAACCGTTACCCACTTCAAAGTGGAATTTCTCTTTGAAGTCATGATATCAATATCCCACTTTGTAGGTTGATCAACAGTGTGAGCTTGTTTTCTACACCCCTGTCTTCTGTCTGAAGTTCTCCACTGCTGCTTTACCGAATTCTGCTGTTTTACAATACCAGAAGCGCAGCAGTGACTTGAATTGTTTATGTTCATCCATTTTGCTTTTCATCTCCTCCAGTTTCATGACTTTGTCTTTGTCTCCCTTCTCGTTCATCATGACGATCAGGACGTCCAGGTGCACCTGAGTGGCCAGGGAAACAACCTTCATGGCGATCTCATCCAGTCTGACAACATGTCGGAAAGACTCTTCCAGAAACTGATCTTTTTCTTTCTGCAGGTCTTTCATGTTCTTCTGGAGAGTTTCCAAGAGGCTAGCTGACTTCTCACTGTCTTCTCTACCCTTATCATACATTGCTTTCATCTGTCGTTTGGTCCTAGTAACTTTCCTGGTCTTGCTCACATATTTCCAGGGTGTTTTCAGATGACTTGGATCACTGCACTCATCCCCACATTTAGTGCATTGTTCTGTTTTCACGTGTTTTGATTCATGACATTTCCAAGTACACACCGTGCAGTAGAGCTCATTCTTATGGCCTGATACAGTACATGTTTTGTGGCATATTGTGCATTTGTATTGCATGACCTCACAGTGACTTGGATACAGGGCCAGTGTGCATGGATAGTGACAGTTCTCCTTACAGACTTCACAGCAGACAGCTCCTCCATAGTTTAACCCTAACGCCCACCATCGTTTCTCATCGACAGGTTCTTTAGATTTGAAGGCTTCAAAAACTTCTACCTTGAAGTCCTCGTTATTCTTCATGTCTTGTTCGTGTTTCTTCAGAGCTTCCTGAGTCTGTTTGATCTCTCTCTGTTTCAGTTCAATGAACTCAATCCTCTCCTGCAGGTTGTGGATGCATGCTGTCAGTCTGATGCGTGAATTCAAAACTTCAACGGTTGTTTCCAAGTTCTGTGATTTGGTATCTTTCAGGAAATCAACGAACTGACCAATCTGTTCGTCTGTTGATTCCCATGCATACTTTAGAGCACGCTCATTTCCCTTAACTCTATCTGTTTTCTGGATGTTATTAAACATGAAATGAACAGGCCGATCCTTCTCGTCTTTCGCACACATCATTTTTGCATCTTTCAGAGCTTGTAGAACATTTGCAGCTGACACAAAATCAGAGTGTGTGATGAGGGCAACGATGTTCTTCTCTATGTCTTTTCCAAGCAGAGACACCACTGAATCAAAGACGTATGTCAGTCGGTCACTCAGTCGATTGTCACTCCCTTTCAGCACCAGACACACTGCATCGATCTCATGAACTCCATCTGTTGAGCGGAACAAGTCCAACAATCTTTCTCTGACGAGGACATCTCTCTCAGTCCCTCTGGTGTCTCCAAACCCGGGGGTATCGATGATGGTCAGAGAGAAGGGCAGAGTTCTGTCTTCAAGACCAAAGACCTCGTACACGATCACGTCTGACGTCTGACTTTCTGTTTGACTTCTCCTTGCTTCCTGTACGATCTGAAAAAAGACATCGTCCTCGAACTTCACTCCCATGGCGTTGTTGATCAGAGCGTTGATCAGAGTAGATTTTCCTGTTCCTGTTTCACCAACAAGCAAGATGGTTTTGTTCATCTTTGTTGGATCTCTTTTACCGAGAGTCAGTCTTCTGATAGAGCCAATGTTCTGTTGTTCTGGTTTCAGCCGGTAGACAGAAGGAGATCCTGGAAAGATCTGAACTTTACATTTGATGTCAGCAAATTTGGATACGATGTTCCTGTAGAAAAGTAAAGACATCAGCTCAAAAACTACTGAACAAAGAAAATAAATACAACTTTACAGAAAAGCAGTTTAGTGTGTGTACCTAAATCCACCAAGAATTAGAAATAGAAATATAATTTGGGAGGTGTGCATTATTTTTTAGTAGTCAAAAGTCAAGATCGCCCTCTGTATAAAGTGTATACTTGTATGGTAGTATTCATACTGTGATCACCCTCTGTATAATGTATACTACATATGTACTTGTATGGTAGTATTCATACTCTGATTGCCCTCTGTATAAAGTGTATACTTGTATGGTAGTATTCATACTGTGATCACCCTCTGTATAAAGTATACTACATATGTACTTGTATGGTAGTATTCATACTCTGATTGCCCTCTGTATAAAGTATACTACATATGTACTTGTATGGTAGTATTCATACTGTGATCACCCTCTGTATAAAGTGTGCTACACATATATTCCTATGGTAGTATTCATTCTGTGATTGCCCTCTGTATTGTATGTAAGGTTATATTTAAAAGTGTTAGTGGAGCCTTGAGTTGAGATCATTTATTGCCACAGTATATCAGGGTGTTGGCAGAGCTGTTCACTTGTGAAATGACACCATAAAAGCTCTTAAAGTGGGGCAAGGCAATGGAATGAATTGTATTGTATTGTGATGTAAGACTAGATTACATAACGATGTGTGCAAATACAAATAATATACTGAGTGGAAAAGAATCTCAGTAAGTTTATAGCATCTGTGACAAAGAGTTAGCGACAAGACCTTTAAGAAGAGGCAGTCTTACTGAGTGTAATGTAGTGTTTGCAGGAGTCATATAATGCAATACATTTAACAAAATAGGCCATAGTGTTATAGCATTGTGCGCGCCCGGGCCTCTCTGTGCTTAACCCCTGACTTTGTTTACTCCTAGATCCTTCCCTTTAGTCTAGTTGCCAGCATAGTGAACCCAGAAATGTACCCGATAGTTTAATGATTGAAATGTAGAGTAGGGTCCCCAGCACATATAAACTGCCGGATGCTAACCTGCATATGTTGGGCAATTTCCACAATTAGCATCAGTTTTGTTCAATAGAATGAATGGCATTATAGCATATGCAGACAATAGTTAAACAATGGCTTGGCTGATTTGAACATTATAGGAGTGGTTTTGGGGGTTATTTGGGATGCTGAGTCTATTTCTAGATCGTAACCAGGAAGAAGCCATATCTGTCCTCTCTGTGGGAGGATTTGGACAACCATGAGGAGTGTTGCGACCATTGGATACAGAGAGCACAAGATTATCCTTATTATCTCAGGCAATAACAATCTGTCCATTCCAGATGATCCAGAGTCTCCGAAATCTTTAAAATTGTCTCAAAATTGATCAAAAATCATCCCACAGAGACTACAAATATGACCATGTTCTGGTTAAAAATGTCAGGAATGGATTCAGCATCCTCAATAACCCACAAAACCATGTTTAAACTATTGTCCACATAGGCTGTAATGGTAACTTATGCTAATTGTGCAAATTGCCCAACATATGCAGGTTAGCATCCGGCAGTTTCTATGTGCTGGAGACCCTACTATACATTTCTAACATAAAACGTTGGTGTACTCAACATCTCCGGGTTCACAACAGGTCTCTATGAGCTGCAAACATTTTTTTTTACATTTTATATAAAGCGTCTTTGAGCATTAGGAAAAGCGCTATAAAAATCCCATGTATTATTATTATTATTACTTCTTGGCATTTCCAACGAGGTGAACTGGCCCCCCTCCAACAACCAGTTCACACTCTATTTGGTCCGATCAGGACTTGAGCCAGTAAGGAGACATTTTCCCCAGGGAAGTAATCAGAAGTCCAAAAGACTTTGAACGCAGCATCTTTTGGAAACTTTAAATCCAGAGTCCCTTAAAACGTCCAAATCAACCCAAAATTAATCAAAAATCATTCAACAGAGATGGTTTGCCTTCACTAACTGTACGGAGGCTCAGTCACTGGTACATTTTTATATACAAAGCCATGTTAGGGAAACTTCCATCCTACATCTGCTCCCTGATCTCACGGCGAATTGTAAGTGGCTACTGCCTGAGATCGCATGCTGTGGTTTTATTAAATGTGCCAACTGCTAGGACTGTCTTAGGGAAGATAGCATTTAGATGCGCAGCTCCACTGTCCTGGAATAGTCTGCAATTGAAATGGAAACTGAGCAATCTGGTGCCACTAAATGTTTTTAAAGCTCGGTTGGATGCTACTCAATCGGATGCTGTTGGTACCTGTTCATGTGGATAGTTATGTAAATTGTAATCCCTGTAATGATATTGTATGATGTCCTTTTGTTGTTCTGTTTATGTTTTTATGTTTCATGTGGAACCTACTTGAGCAGGTCTCCCTTGAAAAAGAGATCAATGATCTCAATGGGATACAACCTGGATAAATAAAGGTTTGAAATGAAACAGATATAGCCACTTTCTGGGTAAAGCTGCAACCCTCAGCGTCCGCAATGACCAAGCGATTTCATTTGGCTAAAGTGCCATGAATGGTATTTAACACAATTTATGCTAATTGTGCAAAATCCCCAACATGTGCAGGTTAGCATCCTGTAGTTTCTATGTGCTGGTACTTAAGTTCGGACCCCCCTCCAGTTCCCACTCTATTTGGTCCGATCAGGACTTGAGCCAGTAAGGAGACATTTTTCCCAGGGAAGTAATCAGAAGTCCAAAAGACTCTGAACGCAGCATCTTTTGGAAACTTTAATTGCACTCTCTAGTTGTTTCCACGTATAGTAAAACAGTGTAAAGCAAAACTTCATTGTGTTTTTAGCCTAAAATGATGAACTCTGATGGAGTTTTTACTCACATTGCCATGGCGACTGGTTTACAGGTGCTTTAAGATGGGGCGTCCAATGAGTTTTCTGGATGGAATAAAAATGTTTTAGTACACAACATAAAAAGCAGTCAACTCAGATCCACAGAATTCAGCCTTAAATCTCGGATATATTCCATGACTCCTGTTTCAAAGAGTTCCTACCTGTGTTGGTCTCTGAGGATGAGGAGGCAGAGATCAGGGAGCGTTATCTTAATATCAGCAGGTGGGGGGGGAAGGGGGGGGGGACTGTGTCTGGGAAGTCATCTTTTGATGACTTCCCAGACACAGTCCCTCCATAAACTTTACAGTCTTGAATACTAAAAGTTGTGATGAGATATGATAAGATGCGTTTACTGTAAATCTGAACCCATAAATCCATCTACTTTTATGAGGACTGGAACAACATTTTTCAATTACAGTCGACAACATTCCTGTTTACATTTAGTCCATTTTAAGGATCCAAAGCTTTATTATAGTCCTATGGTGGTCCCGGAGATGTTGAGTACCCCAACGTTTTGCTTTACACTGATTTACTATACGTGTTTTTGAGTCTATAGACAACTAGAGAGTGCAATTGAAGTCTCCAAAAGATGCTGCGTTCAGAGTCTTTTGGACTTCTGATTACTTCCCTGGGAAAAAAGTCTCCTTACCGGTTCAAGTCCTGATCGGACCAAATAGAGTGTGAACTGGAGGGGGGCCAGTTCACCATGTGGGTTAAAGAAGTACCAGCACATAGAAACTTCTGGATGCTAACCTGCACATGTTGGGGATTTTGCACAATTAGTATAAATTGTGGGCTGGAGATCAGAGGGTTGTGAGTTCAAATCCCGCCTGGAACACCACCAGTGTGCCCTTGAGTAAGGCACTTAGCCCTTAGTTACTCCAGGGAGAATGTCCCTGTAATTGGTCATTGTAAGTCGCTTTGGATAAAAGCGTCAGCTAAATGAAATGTAATGTAAAAATGTAATTCATGGCACTTTAGCCAAATGAAATCGCTTGGTCATTGAGGACGCTGAGGGTTGCAGTTTTACCCAGAAAGTGGCTATATCTGTACTCTCTGGTGGCTGATTTTGATGAATTTTGGGTTGATTTGGAAGTTTTAAGGGACTCTGGATCATTTGGATTGGACAGATTTCTTATTTATTTGAAAAAGAATTGTCCGCAGTAGAGGTTATTATGTTAATATTGTGCTCTCTGTATCCAATCTCTACTCATGGTAATCAAAACCAGTCCACAGAGAGTACAAATATTAGCATTTTCTGATTAAAACTGTCATTACGCATCCTGAAAATGTCAGAAATAGACTTAGCATCTTCAATAACCTCCAAAACCATTCCTAAACTGCTCATATAGACCAAACCATTTTGTAACTATTGTCTGCCTACTGTAGGTTTTAGTGCTAATTAATGCAATTTATGCTAATTGTGCAAATCGCCCAACATATGCAGGTTAACATCCGGTTGTTTCTATGTGCTGCAGACACGTATTATACATTTCTATCATAACACTTTGCTGGCAACAAGATTAAAGCTTTACGAGCTGAGTGCAGGGCGTCTTATCTCAGCCACGAAGCACAGAGAGAGGTCGATCTCATTATGGATTCAAAAGAGCATTTTAATCTGACCCCTCTTTACGGCCCTGGACTGATTTGATGATGATTTGATTCGTCCTGCATTGTCGGAAGCAGAGATTGTTTTATGGATGTTTTGGGAAAGCCAGATCTGGGTCGTACCACTACACGGTTTTTTTTGGGGGGGGGGGGGGGGGGGGGGGGAGGCAGGGGAGTGAGAGCTGAGCCAAGAAGACTAGAACTGAACCACAGCCATATATCAAATCATAAATCAGTATTTAACCGTGAGCAATAGATGAGATAACCGAAGCAGGGAGTCATTTAGTAAAGTAAGGCAAGTAACTAGTAATGTGTAAGGCATTAACTTTGTTTAAGGACTAACCCAACACGGCTTAGACCCTTGAATCAGAACCAGAACAGGTAGATTGATCTACAAAAATAAAAAAACGTGTTCATTAGTGAGTGTTTTTTTAATTAGGGCCATGTGTTAATGTTTTTTTTAACTTTAATAATGAGTAAAAATTAAATAAAATTACAACCTAAAAAGTATACAATAACACATTTAAATAAAAGGCCTATTATGTGTTCATTAGTGGGTTTTTACACTGAATTTCCTTCATTTTAATCTGAATTAACGCATTAATTTCACAACCTTACTGAACGTATAACTATAGTAATATATCGTTTAATGCAAAAAATAAATAATTAGGGGTTTGTGTTATTTTTTAAATGTATTTTAATAATTCATATCCTAACCCTAACCTTAATAAAATATATATATACAGAATAAAACATTTAAATAAAAGGCCTATTATGTGTTCATTAGTGGGTTTTTGACGCTGTATTTCTTTCTTTTAATCTGAATTAACGCATTAATTTAATAACCTAATTGTACTGAATATATAACTATAGTAATATATATTTAATGTTTAAAACAAATATGAAATCGGGCTTTGTGTTATTTCTTTATTAAATAATTAATATCATAACCCTAACCTTCATAAAATATCTATAGCATAAAACTCTTAAATATAAGGCCTTTTATGTGTTCATTTATTACTTTCATATTCATTTATAAAAATGAACTTGTTAACAACCCTTTAATTTATATAAATGTTTGAATTGCCATTTAATATATATTATAATTTAGTGTTCTTTCTCACAGGTTACCTTACCTATGTATATAAAAATGGTACACTGAATGAATGACAGACATCAGGACGTATTAAGGTTTTATTAAGCATCACATTAGTAACAGTCAGGAATAAAACATTAACATTTACCAATAAATAAGATGTGTTATTATGTATCAGGTTATTTAGCAGCAGCTGTGATCAGCTCTGCTCCAGAGTGCCTCGTTCCTCTTCAGTCTTTATTACAAATACAGAAATAAGAACATCTTTCAGTCAAAGAAAGTTTTTTTTAAGCCCATTTCCACCAATTTAATTCAGAAAGAGATCCTTATATTGACAAACCTTCTCCAGATGATGAATTGATATCTGAACATAAGGTTTTGATACAAATTCAAGTCAATATTTGGACATTTTTAGTGGTTATTTTGACATCATTTTGAGAAGATAAGTAATCTCTTTGATACCAAATCAGTATTTGGAGAACTGGATGTTCTGCTGGTGGAAATGTTCTCCCGTTATTCTGTTTCTGTAAAACACTGATAGCGTCTGCAATCCATGAGAAACACGAACACAAGTCCACACATTAAATCCCTTTCTGAACACAAGACGACAAACGGGAGAAAAACATGAAATACAACTAAATAAACACTCAAGCTGTTATTAAGACAACACAAACAATACATCTGACAGCCTTCAGGCGCCAGTGAACCAGCAGTTAGAGCCTCTTTAAGACCAGTTTCTACGTCACATATATTTAATAAAAGCTAAGAGGAATTCAAACCCTCTTTATTGTTGGCATACATGTACTCAGTAGCACACACAGGCAATGGGACCCTCTGGATTTAAAGGTCTCCTATTATCCTCTTCTTCTTGCTGATTGGCTAAGAGACAAAACATCGTTATGACATCATCAAGTGGCCAAAATCTGATCAGCTCATTTTCAGACAGGTTTTTATATAAATGGATCAGGACAAAAAGAGAGAATCTTTGTTCCTGAAACTTTTTTGATAGGAGACCTTTAACTCATCCTAGTACTAGGAGCAGTGGGCAGCCATTGTACAGTGTGTTGCGGTGGGGGGGGGGTGAACCGGCGACCCTCCGGTTCAAGTCCCTACAGACTGAGTGCTGATCTAATCAGACAGAAGTGGTTCTTACTGACCTGAGGCCTGTACTACGAAGCCGGATTTTCTCTTAGCCGGCTGACTTCAAGGAAAACTCGGGCTTTCCGGTCCTACGACGCTGGTTCTCTTTTTAGCGGGCTAGATCTCCATGGTAACTTATGCTGAGCGGCTAACCTCCTCGGGAGCAGGTTAGGTTGCAGGCTAAGAGATCAACTCAGTGAAAGCACCGCCTGCTGACCAATCAGAGCTCCGTGTGCAGAGTTTAAAGCGATCAATTCATATTACAGGATAGAGGAAATACAGAAAAACTGCCGTTGCAGGAAAGACGGCCGGCAAAAATCAACTGACTGTGTGAACGTGAAAATTAATAGAATATCCCCTCCTCCCATCTTCAGAGCAATCTGACTATTATAACATTAGCGTTAAGAAAGCTTACTTAAATATCTGCCACGACATAAGTAACCGGATCAGAGTAACATTAAGTACAGTCCGCGGCACTGTGAGTGCAGACGTCGATGTGTCCCATTATCATTCATATCATATCACATCATAATGTATCATATATTTCCTTATCTGAGTCAGCTGAGCCGTATCTGGCCGTGCAACACTCACAGTGTCACATACTGTATGCAGAAGTATTATTTTAAGCAACACATTAAGTTGACGAAACACTCGAGTCAAATGTAATTAAAGTCAGATCGTGTCTTAGACGGGGCAGTGATATCATAAACCTGTTAATGAACGCATTCAAACACTTTCTCTGTTACCAGCTGTATTCACCTTGCAGGTGCAGCTATGTGGCTTTTATCCTGGATAAAGTGTTTAAGTCATGGATGTTTAAAGTTTAACTTCTTCATATTTGACTAATATTAAAGTTCACTTTTCATTCAGGAAGTATGACGCTGCGCTGTCAGTACGCTTGTCCATGTTTGTGATTGGTCGAATGCTCCAAATACCACCCCTTTCATGTGAACGCGCACCTAACTAGATAGGACACGGCTGGCTTGAGCGATCCACTTGATAACCAGCGTCGTAGTACAGCTTAGCGAGAGCGCGTATGTTTTGGATTGGGCCAACCGGCTAACTCAAACATATCCAGGTTAGGAAAATCCGGCTTCGTAGTACAGGCCTCTGGGGTACTCATATTTTAAATAACATGAACAACAAACAGCTGTGAGGGGGATTCAGTAACTGTATTCAAAAGACAGAAAAAAGGAAGTTTTTAGTTAATATGCTTTCATGGACGTGTTAGCCTAGCTTAGCATAAAGA